AAAAGTACACAACACAAGTAAATGAAGTGACTACAAACCGCCTGAAAAAATTTAGGAGTATTGCAAGGGTCGTTACGTTGTCGCATTACGACATAGTCACATTAGATGTTAGGTACTTAAATATTTCTATTGTTTTCATCATCATTTTTTTTTCTAAAAAAAACACCCTATATCTCAAAAACGAAGCATCTCCTAAATAATTTTAATACTATTGGTTAAACCCAAGGGAAGGGGAGACAAAAAGGCTTATTTGACTCACACATACTCGAGACTAAGACCAATTTTAATAGGTACTATATTTTTTTAGGTTTTATGAGGAACGTCTTCCTAAAGTTTATCGACAGAATCCAGAAGCACCCTTCCGAAAAATCAATTTTGCCATGAAACTATAAGAGTTAGGAAAAAAGTGAATGTACACTTTTTGTCAATAACAAACTGTTCTATCTAAAAACAGCATCATTTTTAATTTTCAGTGGGGCCGTATTAATTTTTGTTATAATTTAATGAATCTCGGTCCCCATAACTCCGCCACTGGTTGCTTGCGGGACTTCTACTTCTATGGAAAAATGGTATCTTATGAGAAGATGTGTCATGCCAAATTTGGCTTAAATAGCCTTCTTCATTGAGAAGTTATTTAAAAAATTCGAATTTTAAAAAATCTGGAAAAAATTTATACTTGATTTTTCCTTATTTTTTTATGAGGAATATTATTCTATTTATTCTTTCTATATCTTTAAAGCGTGCAATTTCCTCTCGCTTCCACACCGGTCCCGAAATGACCCGTTTTGTCTCCAATAAGGCTTCTCCCGCGAAGCGGCGAACGCCCTTCCTTTATCCCGGAACGGTATTTTCTTTACGTTTTTCCCGCGTTTTCCCGGGTAAAATTTCGTTTCCCCGGGGCACCTCGGCTAGGCGTGGAGCGGAACAGAGACGCGACATGTCTGAAACGCCCATCGTCCGATACCGAAAATTGCCTTACGGATTTCGCTCTCCTAGACGTTTTTCGGGACGTAGGGGTCGTTATTTTCACGTCCAAGACCGATTTCCGTCCTTCGGCATTGATATCGAGGCGAGAAAACAGAATTTAAACGTTTCAAAATTTTCGTCGAATTCGAGCCGATGCGGACCGTTAAATAACTTATACAAGGACAACCCATTGCGTGTCCGTGATAGCTACAGGGACTAGACGTCGGCCGTACATCCGCAGGACCCAGGTTCTGATCGTGCGCGGTTAGAGCTTTTTTATTTTTAATTTTACCTATTTTCTACTTATTTATTTAAATATTATATAGAAATATGTTTTATTTGCTTACCATATGCCCTTTTCAAACTGTTTATTGACAATGTTTCATGAAATTAACGCGGATTCGAAATGCGGCCGCTTTTTACTTTACTTTAAAATCTGCAATCTCCTCTCGCTCCCATACTCGACTGCGAAAAACGGTGATTTGCCCGACTTAAGGGTCTTTTCGCGAGACGCGAAGCGGCCGGACGAAAGAGAAGACTAAGCGGGCTTCGTTTCTTCCTTTATCCAGACGTCATATTTTGAAAACGATTTCTTAACGTATTCGATGTAAAATTTTCCTTTTCGGGACGGCTGCCCGCGATTTTTCGCGCGGAACAGAGATGCAGCGTGTCGGCAGACGGCAACGCCCATTGACGGAAACATGACAATCGCGAGTGATGTCAGATTGAAACGTCAAAATAAATTTCACAATTCACACCAAAAGCTAAAGACGTTCTAGGGTTGGGCATTGTTGTTATTTCATCTTTCTAGGCCTCTTTTAAACTTTAATACATAGCTACCCTACGATATATACTGTAGTCTTATTGACTTAATATGAATTAAACTTCTAAACTTGATTATGTAATTTATATAACTCAAAGAAATACAGTAATAATGCTGAATATATTATTATGTTTTCAAAAAACGTCAATCAATTCTCAATCTGACGGTTGCCTTCTATCTAACTGTTCGCAAGATATATCGTCACGTAGTAACTGGACTCGGTCCGCACGGCCATCCTGCATTGTCGATCGTCCTCGATGCGACCAATTTTGAACTTCACAACATGGAACTGGAAAAGAGAAACAAAAAATATAAAGGTGATGTAGCGCCCTAGAGGCGACTGGTCCCTTGGGGCGACTGGTGCCATTGGGGCGACTGTTGCCATAGAAGCGACTGGTGCCATTGGGGCGACTGTTGCCATAGAGGCGACTGGTGCCATTGGGGCGACTGGTGCCATTGGGGCGACTGGTGCCATTGGGGCGACTGGTGCCATTGGGGCGACTGGTGCCATTGGGGCGACTGGTGCCATTGGGGCGACTGGTGCCATTGGGGCGACTGGTGCCATTGGGGCGACTGGTGCCATTGGGGCGACTGGTGCCATTGGGGCGACTGGTGCCATTGGGGCGACTGGTGCCATTGGGGCGACTGGTGCCATTGGGGCGACTGGTGCCATTGGGGCGACTGGTGCCATTGGGGCGACTGGTGCCATTGGGGCGACTGGTGCCATTGGGGCGACTGGTGCCATTGGGGCGACTGGTGCCATTGGGGCGACTGGTGCCATAGGGGCGACTGGTGCCATAGGGGCGACTGGTGCCATAGGGGCGACTGGTGCCATAGGGGCGACTGGTGCCATAGGGGCGACTGGTGCCATAGGGGCGACTGGTGCCATAGGGGCGACTGGTGCCATAGGGGCGACTGGTGCCATAGGGGCGACTGGTGCCATAGGGGCGACTGGTGCCATAGGGGCGACTGGTGCCATTGGGGCGACTGGCTTATTAACAGATGTGTACCTTTAATATTTTTGGAACTGAAAGGGTTTCATATGTTCTATTCCAACAACACCCTCGTAGGGTCGGCTAGACCTATTCGTATGTCTGTCTTCTCTGACTTTATATCTATCATTAGGTAAAACTTCTATTATCTTGAAGGGGCCTCGAAATTTGGGTAACAGTTTCTTACTTTCGTTGTTGGCTGGGAAACTAGTAGTTCTGGTTAAAACTAAATCACCGACTTGATAAATTATGGGAGGGCTGCGTTTTTTGTTAAAATTTAGGTCTTGCTTTGTTCTATTTTCTTCAAGAGTTTGGGATGCCTCTTTACGAATTTTTGTAACATCTATGTTATCCTCTACCGTATCATGCAAGTCAGAATCAGTCCTCAGACGGAAACCGAAGAAGAGCTCTGCGGGCGTGTGTCGTGTTATTCTGTGTTGGGTGCTGTTTAATCCTTGCTGGATTTGTCTAATTTTTGTGTCCCAATTATCCTTTGTGGTATCAGCGCCAGTAGTAGCTAAGGCATCTAAGATAGTTTTGTTCGTTCTCTCAACTTGTCCATTACCTCTAGCCAATCCTACAGCTGTTATAAATAGACGAATGCCTTTACTGTCGACAAAATCCTTAAAACAATGAGAAGTGAAGGCTGTTCCGGCGTCGGTTATGATACGTCTTGGATTTCCAAATAAAGCGAAAAGATCTTCCAATTTGTCGATTACATGCTTGGTAGATGTGTCTGGAACTGCTTGGAGATATGTGAATTTGGAAAATCCGTCCACTACTACTAATAGGTATTTATTGCCAATTTGCGTTTCTACAAAGGGTCCGAGATGATCGAGATGGAGTGTATGATGGGGTCGTGCATACTTAGGGAGGGAATGTAAATACCCTGGTTTTTTCCCGCCGCGGTCTTTATGATAAAGGCAGTGGAGACATGAATTGATATATTTTTTTACAAAGCGATTCATTTTGGCAAACCAATAGTTTTGTTTAATTTTCTCCGTTGTCTTGTCAAAGGCAAAATGACCAATGTCATCGTGATTTAACTTTACTATTTGCCACCGACATTTCTTTGGAACTACCCACTTTCTACCTGTGGAAGTTAATTTGAAAACTGTATTACCTCGTAAATCATATTGACTGAATATCTCTTTGTTGTGAGCACGGTCACCGCTTAATAAGACATCTTTAATCGCACGGATGCTTTCATCTTGATCTTGCGCCTCTCGTAAATAGTCGCTTTCATGAATTAGAAATATTTTCTCTGTGTTAATGGGAGGAGCCGGTTCTGGAGGATTCCGGCTCAATGCATCAACATGTTGCATTTGAGAGCCGGCCCGATGTTCAATTTTAAAATTAAAATCTTGCAAAAATAAAATCCACCTGGCGATGCGTGGAATAATTGTTTGTTTACTCCACGCATTTTTAACGGCATTGCAATCTGTAATGATTGTAAACTCATGGTCCATTAAGTAATACTTAAATTTTTCCAGCGTTTTAACGATGGCCAATAATTCTAACTCGAATGAATGATAATTTTTTTCAGCCGCTATAGTCTGTTTACTGAAAAATGCTATAGGGTTTTCTTTTGTGTCAAGTTTTTGAGTGAGAATTCCCGCATACCCATCTCGGCTTGCGTCTGTATAGACGACTATGTCTAGAGCAGGGTCAAATATGTGTAATATTGGCTGTGAACAAATTTTCTGTTTGAGGGATTCGACAATATCTGTATGGTCCCGCGACCACTTCCAAGGAACATTTTTTTGTAACAATTTTGTTAGTGACGCTGTTTGTCGAGCAAAATCTTTAATGAATTTACGGAAATATCCAACAAGACCAAGAAATTGTCTCAGATTATGTTGATTTTTAGGACATGGAAAACGTGATACTGCTTCAATTTTATCGGTCGAAGGAGTTATTTGATTAAATGAAACATCGTAACCTAGATAAGTTATCTTTTTAACGAAAAATTGCGACTTGCTTAATTTGATGGTTAGGCCGTAATCTGCCAATGTATCAAGAATTTTGGTTAGTAAGTGTAGACCCTCAGGTATTGTTTTGGATGAAATTAAAATGTCATCTAAATATGGTATTATGTGAAATTCTCGAAACGGTAGTAAAATTTCACTCACATTGATTTTTCATGCATGGGTATTTGATGATATCCAGCTGCTAAATCTAAGTTGGTGAAGTACCTGTATCCATAAAGATTATCAATTATGTCTTCTATAAGTGGCAGAGGGAACTTATTTTTAATGGTGAGTTTATTTAACGCTCGGTAGTCGACAACCAGCCGTTTAGTACCGTCTTTCTTTTTCACTAATAAAGCAGGACTTGAATATGAAGATGTACTCTTCCTAATTATTTGAGCATCCAGTAGTTCTTGAATAAGTACCCGAAATGTTTGTTTATCTTTTTCTGAACAACGGTATGCGCGATGAGTCACGGGACGGTTGGAAGTTAATTCTATTGATACCTTTACTGAGTGTGCCTTACCCAAAAAATTTAAGTTTTGAAAGATACAACATTCGTGTTCTTGTAAAATGACCTCAAGCGCGTTTCTATCAGCCGCTGAAATATTCTTGTGCATGACATCATTTAACCAGGGAATAGGAGTATCAGTTACTTTATTTTTAAATGATAAGCTGTCATCAACACGAGTGTATGTGATGTTTTTATGTTCGGTGAAATTTCTGCCGATTAATATATCCGTGTGTAATATGTTATTATCAATAACATAGTACATTATATTTAATTCAACCTCATCGATTTTGGTTAACGTTGTGATATAGTGAGTAACGATCGTACCTACACCGAGAAAACCGGATAAAGTTACAGGAGATTGTAAACATTGACTATGTAAGTTTAAGGTGGCGGCAAGCGTTTTTGTAATGAGAGAACAATCACTACCAGAATCAATAAATGCTGAAACTTCATTACCATTAATAAAAATTTGTTTATAAAATTTATCAGAATTATTGCTAGTACTTATGAGATTAACTTGTTTATTTACAAAATGGGCATTAGTTTCCATTTTAGGATTTCGTTTTGCTGCTAATGTTTTCTGTTTATCGAGACAAGTTCGTTCGAGATGACCTTTTCGTTTACAAAAATTACAGATCTGATGTCTATGTGGACACGTATCTCGATTGTGACCTTTGTAACCACATGCTGAACAGACTGAATTATTATTTGATGTGTTTACTTTATGAGATTGAAAATTAGAAGTACTCGTACTACTTGATCGATCAAAGAAATTTTGAAATGATTTTTGAGAAGTAAATGCTGGTTTTGAGCATATTTTGTTTTTTAAATAAGCGCCCAAATCATTAGGGTTTTTTATATTGGATGCTTCCAAGGCGGCTGTTATAGTGCTATCATTGATAGCACCGGTAATTAAGGAAACTTTATCCACATCAGAAAAATTTAATTTCAGCTTATTAATTTTAGCTAAATGTTCAAAATGAAAATCGTACAGTGAACAGCCCTCTTTTGGTTTATGATTCATAAGGTCAGTAAGTAATTGATATACGTTGCGCCCGCTTTTGAATGTGTTCAGAAGCACGTCTTGCCACTTTGCCCAAGTAAATTTTGACCACCCCATCTCGCTCTCAATGTAGCTATTGTACCAAGTCTTAGCGGTACCCTTTAGATTATTTAAGACTTGATAAACAATAAAATTATCTGACCAGTGATACAGTTTTGCATTGTATTGAATTATTTCCAGCCAATCGGTAATTTCCATAGTATTGGGATTGAATTCTGGTATTATACTGGTTAAGGAAGGAGGCTGTGCAGAGTAGGATTGGCATGAATTATTGTCACAGCTTTATTTCTTCGGCTAGAGGATTTTCTGTATTTTTTCTTACGCTTATTATGAGTGTCCTTGCTACTACGGTTGCTGGTGGACGATTTTGTTGAGCGGGAGGACGATGAACTGGAGGACGAGCTGGACGATGACAATTGTCGCCGGGTTTTCTTCTTGTGCTGTGGCATGACGAACACCAACACAGATAACACTTAAGAACCACTTCTGATGTAGTCTTATTGACTTAAATATGAATTAAACTTGATTATGTAATTTATATAACTCAAAGAAATACAGTAATAATGCTGAATATATTATTATGTTTTCAAAAAACGTCAATCAATTCTCAATCTGACGGTCGCCTTCTATCTAACTGTTCGCAACAGATATATCGTCACGTAGTAACTGGACTCGGTCCGCAATACAGGTATTTATTTATCATTACGTTTTTATTTACATTTTTTCTTAGCTCTACCACTACATACATGGTATTCCTGCTGTATGTCTCTCGATTTGCTGTAAGTACCCACTAAAAATTGAATATTTCTTTCTAATTTTAAAACAAACAGTAGTACCTAAACCCTATCACCTTTGTATTAATTAGTACATTTGCTTCGTTAATTACTATAAATTGCATCCATATTAGTCCACAAATATCAAAAGTTGAGAATTATCGAAATAAGTTGGAGCTAGACTTCCAGATCGTGGAATGTTGTTATTTCTCTGTTTTATACCATTCTGGATCTTTCGCGGACGATTTTGTGGCAGAATACAAATACAGACGACAAGCTTCACATAAAGGCGTTAGTGCAACGGTGAAAATGGGATAACCTAAGATTTATTGCTTACATATTGCCGCAATTTTATGTTTTATATGGATTTATCTTTTTAAACCTTTTCATAAAGAAAAATATATACATTTTTCAAAACTTTTTTCTAGTGTCTCAAAAAATTGCGTTGAAGTTCGAACGGTCAGGAGTGTTCTGTATATTTCAAAAATTTATTGATTGCAATATTTTTATGACAAATCATATCCTATTAACCAGATGTTTTGTACTGGATGTTTCATAAAGCTGGCACAGGTGGACTAGGCTTTTCTATTCTTTTTACTTCTTTTACTTTCTCTACTGAAATGTTTTGAAGAAAACTGATCATTCGCTTTTTGGAAAATCCCTATACTGAATCTCCCACAAAATTGAGCCAGGTCAAAATTATTGGCCCAGAGGCTTTCAGAAATTTATTGATGGCGATATTTTTATGAAGAATCTTATATTGTAGAACTCAGAAGCATTTTGCAAATTTATATACTGAGTGTTTCACAAAAATGACACAGGCGGACATGGATATTTTTCTCATTTCACTACCTACTTTTCTACATTATTTATTGAAATCTCTTGATGAAAATTTATAGTTACTAACCAGACAATTTCTTTGAAAATCCTTATACTGGATGTTCTACATAAATTAACCCAGGTCAGAATTATCGGTCCAGAGGCTTCTGTATATTTCAGAAATTTATTGATGGCAATATTTTTATGAAAAATCTTATATTGTAGAGCTCAGAAGCATTAGGCAAATTTATATACTGAGTGTTTCATAAAAATGAAACAGGAGGACTAGGATTTCTTTCTCATTTCACTACCCACTTTCCTACATTATATATTGAAATCTCTTGGTGAAAATTTATATAGTTACTAACCAGACGCTTTCTTTGAAAATCCATATACTGGATGTTCTACATAATTTGACCCAGGTCAGAATTATCGTCCAGAGGCTTCTGTATATTTCAGAAATTTATTGATGGCAATATTTTTATGAATAATCCTATATTGTAGAACTTAGAAGCATTTTGCAAATTTATATACTGAGTGTTTCATAAAAATGAAACAGGCGGACTAGGATTTTTTTCTCATTTCACTACCCACTTTCCTACATTATTTATTGAAATCTCTTGATGAAAATTTATATAGTTACTAACCAGACTATTTCTTTGAAAATCCATATACTGGATGTTCTACATGAATTAACCCAGGCCAGAATTATCGGTCCTGAGGCTTCTGTATATTTCAGAAATTTATTGATGGCAATATGTTTATGAAAAATCTTATATTGTAGAACTCAGAAGCATTTTGCAAGTTTATATACAGTGTTTCATAAAAATTAAACAGGAGGACTAGGATTTTTTTCTCTTCACTACCCACATTCCTACATTATTTATTGAAATCTCTTGATGAAAATTTATACAGTTACTAACCAGACGCTTTCTTTGAAAAACTATATACTGGATGTTCTACATAAATTAACCCAGGTCAGAATTGTCGCTCCGGAGGCTTCTGTATATTTCAGAAATTTATTGACGGCAATATTTTTATGAAAAATCCTATATTGTAGAACTTAGAAGCATTTTGCAAATTTATATACTGACAACATTTTCCTTTCTCTTTCAACTTTATTTTTACTTACTGAAGGCATTTAATGAAAAATTGTATATTTACTAACAAGATACCTGTTTGGAAGTTTATACTGGGATGTTCCAAAAAATGATCCACTTCAAAATTAGGAGAAAGTGAAACTTAACTTATTTTTTTCCCATTTCTGCCTTACCTACGTACTGAAGTCTTTGAATGAAAAGTTGTATATTTACTAACCATATACTTTTTTGGAAGTTTATACTGGATGTTCTAATAAATGATCCACTAAAAAATTTGGAGACAGTGAAACTTAACTTATTTTTTTCCCATTTCTGCCTTACCTACGTACTGAAGTCTTTGAATGAAAAGTTGTATATTTACGAACCATATACTTTTTTGGAAGTTTATACTGGATGTTCCAATAAATGATCCACTTAAAAATTAGAAGACAGTGAAACTTAACTTATTTTTTTCCCATTTCTGCCTTACCTACCTACTGAAGTCTTTGATTAAAAAATTGTATATTTAATGAAGTTTATACTGCATGTTACAAAAAATGATCCACTTCAGAATTAGGAGAGTGAAACTTAACTTATTTTTCCCCATTTCTGACTTACCTACGTGCTGAAAAATTTTATATTTACTATCTAGATATCCTTTTGGAAGTTTATACTGGATGTACAAAATGATCTACTGTACAAAATGATCTACATCAGAATTGAACCCAAAACAAAAAGGCGGCAAACCAGATATTTTTTTATACTTTTTACCTTTTTCTACTGTCCACGAACGCGGTGTTTCGGAGCCGTTTGGCGATGGTGACGTGGTTGGGGGTATCCCTAAGAATCCCCAGGACACGCTGGATGCGTTAAAAAAGGCCCCTGACAGGAAATCACGGGGCGCAATGTTGGATTTTTCTTGCGTCCCGTGACACTACTTTCTTTGGTAAAGTTCAGTGATGAAAAATTTTTCATTTACCGACACGATGCTTTTTTGATAATTTTTATACCGAATGTTCCAACAAAATTGATCCAGGTCAGAGTTCAAACGTAATCATATTATTTTTATTTCATTCTACTTTATTTTTTTGAGGTCTATTGATGAACAATCTTATAATATGTTTTTTGGAACTTTACAATATACTGCATGTTCTATAAAATTAATCCAGGACATACCCCGTGGATTATTCCTTATTATATTTGTTTCTTCTACTTTATTTGGTGAAGCCTATTCATGAAATTTTTTTTATTTACTAACCAGGTGCCATTTTAAAACTTTCTACACAGAATGTTTCACAAAATCGACCCACATTAGAATGCTGATACTAATGTAGATGGTGGTGATGTAGATGATTTAAATAATGGTCATGTAGATGATGGCGATGTAGACGATGGTGACGTAGATGATGGTGGCGTAGATGATGGCCATGTCGATAATGGCGATGTAGATGATGGTGGTGTGCATGATTGTGATATAGATGTTGCTGTAGTAGATGACGGTAATGTAGATAATGGCGATGTAAATGGTCATGTAGATAATGGTGATGTAGATTATGGTGATGTGGATGATGGCGATGTAGATGATGGTGATGTATATGATGGTGATGAAAATGATGCCGATGTAGGTGATGGTGATGTAGATGATGGCGATGGTGATGTAGATGATGTTGCTGTAAATTATGGTGATGTAGATGATGACGCTGTAGATGATGACGCTGTAGATGATGGTGATGTAGATGATGGTGGTGTAGATGATGGCGATGTAGATTATGGTGGTGTAGATGATGGTGATGTAGATCATGGCGATGTACACGATGGTGATGTAGATCATGGCGATGTAGACGATGGTGATGTAGATGATGGCGATGTAGATGATGGCGATGTAGATGTAGATGATGGTGATATAGATAATAGCAATGTAGATTATGGTGATGTTGATGATAGCGATATAGATGATGGTGATGTAGATTATAGCGATGTAGATGATGACGATGTAAATGATGGTAATGTAGATGACGGTGATGTAGATGATAGCGATGTAGATGATGGCGATGTAGATGATGGTGATATAGATGAGTGCTGAAGATTATTGTGCTGAAAATTATAGTGCTGAAGATTATGGTGATGTACATGATGATGATGTAGATGATGGTGATGTAGATGATGGTGCTGTAGATGATGGTGATGTAAATGATGGCGATGTGGATGATGGTGTTGATGATTTAAAAAACATTCGCGCAAGACAGGAGCTCAAGCGGTGCGCAGCGCCGCCCGAGGGCCGAAGGCCCGAGAGAAACGTCAAGTCGGCGAAGCCGACTTGCTTACGTTTCTAGTCATATATGTATATTAAAGCGTGGGGGTTACTCTCGCTCGCACGCCCGCCCGCGAAAAAGGGCCATGTTCCATTGACGAAGGCTCCCTCGGCGAGCCACGCAGCGGCGAGCCTCGGGTCGCGAAGCGACCCGCGGTCCTCCGTTGTTTAGGGGTGTTCCGGTGCGGGCTTTTACGCGTTTTCCCCGTGAATTTTTCGTATTCCTGGTCGTCGGCGCGACCGACCGCGGTTTTTAGCGGGGAAGTGAGACAGAAATACTGGGGAACGCCTTCCATCGGAAGCATTTCGGGGTCGATTTCTCCGAACGAGGGCTTTTTTCCCGTGAGGAATCGGGACTTGCTTCCGCTTTTACGCGGAAGTTTCGTCCTTTCTGAGGGTCTCGGGCGTATTTTTGCGGGGTATTTTTTAATTTTTAAGGCCGAAATTAGCTTTTCAAAACGGGTCTGCTCGCGTCTCTCTCGAGACCCCGATTATTTTATAAAGCCCGGATTATTTCGGCGAAAACGCCGTTTTCGCGACGGCGTAATTTTTTTCCTTCGCTCGATCGGCCTTCGTTTTCTGCGCGATAACGAAGCCCTGGCTTTCCTCTCGGCGTACGGACCGCGTCCGAGGACTGAGGAAGTCTCCGTTGGTCTCCCGAGACGCCTTTCCGACGACGCGTCGCAACGATCTCTCTCTTCTATATCTCCATCAACTTTTTTTAGGTCGAACGTAACAAAATTTAAGACCGGCATTAGCGATATAAAATTTGTGCATTCAGCCATGGGCGTCTCTTTGGTCAGGTGAAAAGAGAACGTATTTTCCACGGCTCTTACTAGATGTTGGCAGAGTTTCCGCGGCCGAATTCTTTACGAGTGATGTCACGATATCTTTCCCTTTCCGCGAAAAATTATATTCAGCCCCCACAGTAGCCCCAACGGATCGTAAGCGATGGTATAAATCCCTTCGACAAAAAATTTTGCGAGTTTATGACGGCCGATGACAGCGGTAAAACTGGTGACAGTTCGATGTGACAAGATGGCCGCCACCCGTTGTTTGAAAATCGGAAATTTTCAACTTTATATGAGCTGATTTGTGTAAATCACGCTAGCGGGGGCCGTTTTACATCGTATTCATTGGTATTGTATTGCTTTTGTATAGTTTTTTTCCCAAGAAGAAAATTACGTTGGACAGGCGGGTTACTTGGCCCCACGAATGCCGAGACAAACCTTGAAGACCTTTATCTACTTTTCCCATGGTGCATAATCGAGCCTGTTAATTCTGTGATCTGTCAAATCCAATCTTGACATCGAGAGAAGTACCAAGTACATCGCCAAGTTTGGCTACTACATACTGGAATAGAGATATTTGATGTGGAGTCTCGAACCATTCTTCAACCCTGGAAGCCACCAGTGATTACAGTGATAAAAAAACGAGTGACCTTCGCAAGTACCTACTATTTATAAAATTGTGAAACGTGTCGGAAGATTTTATATCCTCTCTGCCACAGTAACTTTTTAGTAAGTAGTACAATATAATCTGAACACTCGAGGAGTTTTCACAGCCAAACAAACAAATACGTACTGAATCGTATGTCTATACACAAAACAATATAAATATAAAGTTTGGCTGTTCTTTGAAGAGATACTGCAGTGTGTCTTCCAGAGGTCCTTCGGTTGAATATTAAATTTCAACTCCATTTCAGTAGGTATACAAGAACCCAGTCAGTACTTCCCTGTGTTTAAAAAAGTTTCGCAAGTCCAAAGTAAAAATGTTATGGAAAAGTGAAACGTGTGTTAAAAACTGAACTCGCAGATTTTGTATCTTTTAGATATACCTGTAATTTTATTAGCTAGCTAAACATGTAAGCAAGTCTGTCTCCATGTTATCTTTTTTTCAATAAAGACTGTATTTACTAACAATGACAACTCTTGGAACTATAATTTTTTACTAATGATGATACAATGTTAAGAATCAACAGATACTTATACAGGGTGTCCGGTAAGTACCTCCTAATCTCTCGGGAGTGTATAGGGGAGGTCAAAATAAAACTAGTCCTTCCTATAATTTTTTTTCCTAATGTGTTACCAATTTTTTTCAAAACCGATTTATCTCGCAAACCGTTCATTTTTTCGAAATAAATAAAGAGTACCATTTTTAAAGAAAAACCTTCAGAGTATCTAATAATAATATTTTCAGTTTGATAAAATTACTTCTGTCAAAATTTTGAGAAAAATTGTGATAGGGCCAGTCCGTTTCTGGACACCTGATAATAGCAAAAAGTTGATTTTAGCATCAAATCGTAGAGCTCCATGTGTAATACAACGTACGAAAATTTTATTAAAATATACAGGGTGGTTTCAAAGTTATAACCCTAAACGTTAA